GGGAAACTATTAAATATAATGACTCTTCGTTGGGTTTTTCTGCTTCAAGACCTTATTTAGTTAAGTTTTTAATCATTTTATGAATTTTAGAGAGAAGGAAAAGGTTAAGTTTGGCAAGTCGGTGTTCTCAGTAGATATATCTATTAATCAATCAGAAAAAAGATTTCGTGGCCGAGTTATTGATTTTCATAAACATTGCAATCTAAATTGCGATCGAGCTGACTCAAAGTTGAAATTTTACCTTCAATCAGAGTACAAGGTACAAACTTCTCTTCATCGTCATCTTAATTCTTAAGTCAGTCCCGAGATAAGAAACCAAAATATTTTACAAGAAATAAGTACACATACGACCAGCGTGAACTAAAACTGGGTTCTTTCTTAACTGTTACAGGCTGGCGTGGATATCATCGTGGTATACATGCACTGGGGAAGAGAGGTGCTTTTGAAACCGCTCGATTACCAACTTCATATAACAAAGCACCTTTGGTCTCTTGGAGTCCACATGATCATTGGATCACATCCGCACGTGCTGCAACCTCACTGGCTGACCAAGGACAACAAACTTGTGGAATACAGTCTAGGAAATTTCTTGTTTCCTCCTTTGCGTCCAATAGGTGGAAACAACCCGGTAACGAGCCTTTTTCTTTTGATTTAGAGAACACCTTTGATGTCAATTCATTACATTGAGAACATTAACCGTAAGGAAATAATCATTTTAAGATAATTGAGGAAAAAAATTAGATGGTTGAGTTACAATGGTGGTGGGCTGGTGGTCTCATTTATTGTAAGTACTGGCGATTCATAGGAGACAAAGGATTTTTGTTGAAAAGCATATGGATTTGTTTGATTGACAATGTTTGTTTGTTTGATCTTAACTAAGTCCAATTTTTTACGCAGTTAGTTTACGGTGGAAGGGGTTTTAAACCAAATCCTCGCTTGATTGAATCATATGAGTATATCACTTATGAAGAAAGAGATATGCTGAAAATGAGCCGGATGTTGAGAGTGACTGTCTCAAGGTAAAGACATTGTTTTCAATGGTACTAGAAAACATAAATCCCTAAAATAGAACTCTTCCATATGACTGGAACACAAATGCCATTTAACTGATGGGCCATCCGTAATAATATAAGAACTAACTGGTTTGGCGATTGGGCTGACATATTTCGTGAGTTACTTTACCATTCAGACCGCAACTAAGAGTAAATACGGCAAGGGACTGCAAAGAAAAATTCTGATGTTGTTGCCAGGATTTTAAAAATACCTGTTCGATCGAAGATAATCCATTTTTTTAAAATGATTT